CATCCGCCACAGGTTCTAAGAGCATTTTAACGGCGGCAGAGGCCGACGTCATACCTGGAAAACTGGTACGACGTCCGTGTGGGAATTCAGCAAGACGGACTTCAAACTGGGATTGGAACCTTCCCAGGTCATGATGGACACAACTTTGCCGGGACAGACCTGATCGGTAAAAAAACGATTCCTTTGTTTATTATTACTGTGGGGAGAAATAATAATGATAATATAATAAAATGTAAATGTTTAAAAACGTATGGACCCACACCTCGATCTTCTTCAGAGGAAGGCCGAGCTCTGCTGCTATTCTCTCCAGGAACTTTACAGCACTGTCTGTGAACAAGACAGACATGGAACGATGAACCTGACAGACGGGATTTTCTTGGCAACCTTTTAAATTCTTAAGTTATCGTCTGCTCCGGGGTCGACTTCCTCTCTGCTGACTAAACTTTAACTTCAGTCTATTCAGAAAAGCCAACTCTGCAGATTAGTTTCTTTCTTGAGGAAACCATGGTGTCTGACCTTTGGTAAAACGGGTCAAATGTGAGACGGCGGAGACGACAGGTGAACCTTCTGTCCTCACTCATGGACATGTTGTGTAACTGGAGGCCATAAATGATTGATCAAGATAAGACGTAGGCTCTGGTAAACAGTAACACATTAGAAAATATGATGTAAGTTTTGTTTTTACAGCGTCCGTCGTGGAGAAAGGTCTGGAGTTTAACTACTGTTGTTTATTGCACTTTTGCTCTGAACTCTGAGTTCTACAGTTAATCTCTGACCATTTTGACGATGATTCTGCATCAACATGAGGAGTGTGAGTGACATCCACACATACTGGGCTCTTTTTCTCTGCTGGTCGACTCATTAGGATTCAGTGAACATTGTTTACTCTCTCTGGAACGTCAGACAACATCAACATGCTGTACTTACACAAAGGCAACAGGAAAAATGCACAAACACATTTGTCACATCACACATTTAGACTAGAATCAATTTGGAATTAACGTTGTGGTTTTTTTTTTTTCATAATAGTAAAAAAAAAAGTGGAATTAATGCCTGAGTGAAGACAGAAAGATAATGTGATTCATTCCAGTTAAATATTTAATCAACAGAAAGCCCTAGTGTAAACAGTTAGTTTGTTGAGAGCTAATGCGTGAGCAAAGAATAAAGTGCATGTAACCATAAAAAAACAAATATCAGATAAAAAAAAAAATCACTAAATCAAACAGGATGAGTTGACTTTTCAAACAGTTGCTGACTCATGCAGCAGTTCATAAACATTTATTTTCTTGTAGTGTAATTTTAACACATTTTTAACACATTTAACACAAAATTAATCAAACTGAATTAAAAAAAATAGTCGTTAATGAAGCCTGTTGTAGGTTAATCGTCGTTAATTTGACTAAATGCACTTAATATTCCATTTTCACTCTGCAATAAACCAACAAATCTGGAAAAAAAGTAAGAAAAATCTGACCAAATACGTGACGTTTTATAAAACAGCTGTAGTCGATTAATCATTGGTTTGAATTCATTCTCGGTCTGAATGTGTGTGTGTTGGTGTCTCACCGTAGTCCGGCTGTGGGTGGACAGTCTTCAGACGAAGGTAGTCTCTGAAGAGACTCACGGAAGGGTCTTCTCCGGCAGCAGACCTCGGTCCTCCTCCGGGACCCGGTCCATCTTTGTCAGGCAGCATGGTGGCTCTTTCACACTCCCCGCTGAGGACCCGGAATTTAAGACCAAAAACACAAGAGCGGCGTTAAAACGTTATCACAAACACAAACACAAGAGACACTCGTAGTTTTCTCAATCTCTGGTTTCACTACAACGTGTCCTACCGTCGTTGTCCGTGTCTGTGAAGACGTCCACACCTGCAGGATCAGTTTCCACCGCTGGGGATAACGGTTAGCCGTAAGCTACAGAGCCCAGCTAGGACCCGGGTAAACACGGCAACAACTGCTCCGGCCCGGGCGGACCAGAATGTTCGGGGGGGGGGGAAACCCAACAACCCGGACTGACCCGGCGGGCGGCTTCAAAATAAAAGCCCGGTGATTATAAACCGATGTACAGGACAAAATAAAGACTTCTCACGTTTCCGGCAACAAATATATATTTTCAAACATATAAATGAAGGCAATAAAAAAAATAAAGTGATGAAAATGATAAAAATTTGACAAAGATTGGACATAAGACATGAATACAGAAAGGATAAACAGAAGAAAATACATGTAAAAGAAAGGAAATGATATTTAGCTTCACCTCTGGTTTGGAGACGTCACCTTTAACGATGAATCGTGTGTTGATACCGTCCTGTATTGAGTGACTGTAAAGCATAACATTCAAATAAAACATAACCATTTATATAAAAACACATAAACATACGTAAAAACACTCCCAAATCTCACAATTTATATTTTTATTGTAAGCGCTGCACAAATCTGTTCTGCATTATTGTCCAAGCAAATTGCAAATATATTACATATATCTTTATATACAGACAACAACACACACAATATTCTTTCTACATCCTGCGCTTCTTCTTCTTCTTTCTTTTTCTTTTTTTTTTTTTAGAGAATTTGTTCTGGTTAGAAAAGGAAATAATCTGGAAGCTGGAGTGATTACTATGACACTACACACAAAAACTACAAACAGATGCCATTTAAAAACACACACACACACACATACACACACACACCTGTTCCTGTTCATATTCACAGCTCCGACCATTTGATTTGGTGAATTAAAAGCCAGGATATTCCATGATTTCTCATGCAACGGAGACAAGAAGGACACAAATATCACACACCTGTACACACTGCTGCCATTAGGAGGAAAAAACCAAAAAAAAACCAGCTGAATCTTATGGTTTTGCCTAAGAAAAAGAAAAAAACTAGAAAAAAAAAGATTTTACTCTGAAATATTATGCTGAACAGTTTGGCATGCGACGAAGCCAATTCACATGCAGAGAAACTTCCAAGGTGACACGAATATGAAAGATCATATTCTTAAAAAAAAAAAAAAAATCTAACCACCTCAACATAAACAGAAACTTTTTATTTATTATTTGTATTAGTATGGTCATCTTTCCATCACCTCAACTCATTTCAGTTTGCTGAGGAATTCCATCAGTCCCTGGTGAAACTCTCGGGGCTTGTCCTTGTAGCAGACGTGACCAGCTCCTTCCAGCTTCAGCACAGAGTGATTGGGAAGTTGTATCAGGTTCTTGTGGGACTGCGCCCCAAGGTTTGTATCCAGGGATCCGTACACGACCAGAGTGGGAGTCTGGAAAGAGGAGTAAGGAGGAAATGAACAAACCCTATCAAACAAACCCAAATCATTTATGGCAATAAAAAAATAAATTAATCTCCAAATGGAACCTTAACTTGTAACTCAACAAGATTAACATCAATATTTAATGTTCTGTTCAAAATACAACACATACTGTACAAAAAAACACAAAGATCTTCAAAAGCTTTCATAGCGATTTGTTGCCATCTAGTGGAAGAGCATTGAATTGTTCTCCCTGTCACTAAACATTGACGGACAAAGAAAAATCGTTTGCAATAAATACATGATGGTTTTCAGATCGACTAAGTGAAATTGGATTTTTTTCCCCCACGGCGCCGCTAATGATCACTCACGGTACACGAGAGTAAAGCAGACACTTTGAACACTCGCTTTTCCTGACGTCATCATCTGTAGTCATTCAGTAACATACAAATACACAAAAACAGGCTTTGTCTGTATTTATAATGGAAAGTCATTATCCAAGCAGTCAGACTGGAGCGACAGGAGTCTGTTTAGTCAGCTGCTCTACACGACATGATGGATTGTTATACTAACCAACTAGATCGTCTCACAGCTAGCACACAAAGAATGGTGGAGGAGAAAAATATATATAATATATATAATCTATTTATATTATATATATATAATCAAACATAGCTGCCAGGTGTCGCTGTTTACTTCTAACTCATCATCTTTGCTAAAGACTATGTTCAAGTACAAAAATGACGTAGACCAAAAAAAAAAAAAAAAAAAAACGAGTTTGAATGTAGAATAAATGTACGTTAGAGTTACAGGGCAACAGTTGGCCTCCACCGAGCCTCATACTGCTATTGTTCTCTGAAGCCCCCTAGTGGACAGTTTGGTGTTTCATAGAGAATAAGTTGATTTGGTGACAGATTCAGAAAGACAGACTGAATGAATCAATGACGGTTCTCTTCATTTAACACGCCAGAAATAAAATGTATTATTATTATTATTATTATTCATTTCTACAGTTTATTATTTTCAGGGTCAGAAGGACAGAGGGTCTGTGGGGCCGAGACTGGGGCCCAAACAGAGATTAACAGACATTTCTGTCCCCAAGAGGAGGACAGAAAATAATGGAGAACCACTGACCTAAAGGAACAAGGGAATGTCCACACAGACACACAGTGAATGGGTGACCTAATTTACTGAAGTAAGTCAATGTCTTTTCTCAGTCATGTAATTAAAACACAGCGACACTGAAATACATTCCTCAGATTTGTTATCAAAAGAAGCCAACGCCAACAAAACCCACCTGAATACTTTGGTACTGCTGTGGAGTGTATCCTCTGGTACCGACCGGTGCCACGGGAATGAAGCCGTGCAGCTGCTCGTGGTTCTTCATGAAGAAGGGCAGTGAGTAAAGTCCACTCATGGAGGGGCTCAGCAGCACAGGTGCCCTGACCCCCAAAGACTCCATGAACCGAGACAGGAGGTCCACCCGGTTCTGGTCGGTCTTTAGAGCATCCGAGTCCGGCGATTTTCCGTAACCTTCGCAAAAGAACAAGAATACGTCAGGGTGGAGAGAATGGATCATTAGTTACAAATGCTAATGAGCTAACAATGCTAAAAAAAAAAAACCTTAATTTCCCAAGGGAACTCCCGTAAAACTCAAAGCTCTCTCTTTCTGTCTATCCAATATGGATTTTTACAGGATAATAAAACTGCTAATAGTCTCACAGTCAATATATCACAATATATCATTTATATTATGGAGTTATTGTTATAATTTTATTTCCTTTCTACCTGGCAGATCCATGGCCAGAGCCTGATACCCATTGGCTGCCAGCAGGGCCATTGTACCGAGGTCTTCCCAGGTTTTGGAGGTAAAGGCTTGACCATGCAGCAGAACCACTTGTAGCCTACACAAAGTCATAATTCTGTTTTATTTCTTCTGTAGTCACAAATGTAAAATGAAGCATTTTGGCATGAATCAACAGTGTGGCTATTTTTTTTTTATGAAATTAAGAAAAATAAACCACCTCGGTAATATCTGTTTTCCTGCCGTGTCCACGGGCAAGGCCTCTCTGAAGAACAGCGGTGGATCCCCGGGCAGTTGTCCGGTGCGGACAGTGACGTTGATGTTTGTGAGTGGAGGAGAGGAGGTGGCCATCAGACCCATTCTCTGAGCTTCAAGAGACGGCTCCATGCTGCCCTGACGGATGGATGGAAGCAGCAGGTACAGCAGCAACGTGGCCGCGAGAACCAGGACCAAGACAACGAGGCGATTACGCAAGAAATTCATTTTAACAAAATGGACATCCTAGGAAAAAAAGGATAGAAGACAGTGTGTGGGGAAAAAAAGTTTAAGTTAATGACCAAACTACCAACCTTTCTTATAACAGAGTCTGTAAAAGTCGATATCCAGTTACTAAAACTTCTACAGCAGATAAACTAGTTGGTTATGTTCATACAATTAACCAGCATTGTTAAGACACACAGACCTACACCAAGGGTATACAAAAAACAGGACATTGGTCTCTTTGTCAATATGAAATGCGTTGAAAGACGTATTCAAGGTTACCAGGGGTATGACTGCATCGACACTACACAAGTCCATCAAGGGGGAGTAAATGCGTTGAAAGACGTGTTCAAGGTTACCAGGGGTATGGCTGCATCGACACTACACAAGTCCATCAATAGAAGTGATATTCAATTTGATTAAATTTGCAAATACATCATACTTCATTTGTTTCTTTAATTTAAATATGCTCTGGGGTTTGTTTGTTTTTTTTGTTGTTGGTTTCTTTTTTTTTGCCCTCTATAATATAGACAAACAAATCGTTAGCGTTATAAACAGAAACAATATGAAAGAAGCTTTTCTTAACAAATTGTTTATCTTAAGCATTGGCAAAAAACAAAAAAGCTAAACGAAAAATAGTGCATCGAATAAATGATTAAAACATTCTCGTTAGTTGCAGCTACCTATTAGAGACAACAGGTTTTTTCGCTAAATCACAAAAGCATCGACCACACACCACGAGTCCCAGCAGCAGCCACAGTCAAATCCATAAAAACAAACCCATGCTAATATTAAACTAAAAGAAGCACAGCAGAGAAAAACGAGATGTCTGCAACAGCCCAGCGTAGAATAATGTAAGGAAAGACAAATAGGCGCCGAAGATATCATTATAATTGAGTTAAATCAGACGAGAGACATGACGTATTTGCTCGGCGAGTCTTTCTTACACGAGTTGCATCCTTGAGCCACAGCGTGATGTTGCTGACATGACGCATTATGAATGCAACAGCAGCGGGAAACATACCGACACAGATGAGAGGAGCAAACACGGTACTGACACAAGGACGAAGCTGTCCGGTGTCTTTATGTCTTCTCCATCGCTGCCTGTACGCTGTAATGTTGTTGGACGAGTCGGTGCAGTGCAGATGGAGGTGTTACATTTCCAAACACATCCGACGGCATTTAAACACATACGGCCCTAATTGTAACGATACATTCATTCAAGATTATATGGAAAAACATATATACGCTATGTGAATCGTACTTAGATTTATAACCAGGTGCAGATGATTGCGGCCCTGTATGAAAATTGAGAGAAGCTAGTGAAATACTTTTTTCTATACGCAGCGATTTACACTAAACTGTCGGTTTCCAATCGGAACATATTTGTAGATGCGCATAGGCATTGTGTGCGTCATTTCCGTGTGAGGCCGGAAGTGGAGGCCGGCTTTTCAAAAAAAAAAAGCAACGATAGAGAGATGGTTAGGTGGATATTAATTTAACGAATTTAAGATGTCATTTTTTAACAACACATTAAAATGTATTTATTTCCTTGCTTGTCGTTTACTTGAAGTGTGCATACGATTTATATAAGAATTATATAAGAAAAACCGAAGGAACGAGGCTCAAAACATGCATGATTATAACATATGACATTTAATATTTTAAGAATTTAAGGTAAGAGGTGAATACAAAATATTTATGTACAAAACCATTTAAATTCTTAATTTTTGGTTTCAAGAAATAACATTAAAAAAATCAACAAACTGGTACAAAAACGGTTTGGAAATAACAGGTGTGTAAAACTGTTATATAAAATAAAATTTTAAAAAAAATTAGGTATTGAATGTGTGCTGTACGTAAGGCAACAACAGATTAACACAGAGCTCCACATGTTTTCTTCTCCATAACACAACAATGACAAGTCAGCAGGTATCAGGGCCATCATCATGACTATTTATCACAAAACTGTAGCCCCTTTGTGAGCACTGACCAGACACACAATGACCAAACACCATTTAACACAGGCGTTTCCATGATCCACTGCAGTGGATTTTACTGAATTACAAAACAGGCACTGAAAATAAAGGCTTGTTTTTGTTTTGTTTTTTAAATACTCCAGTATGTTGTTTAAAAGCAGTTGGTGCCTTACATTTGCTATGATATTAAAGGCAACTTTCTAAAGCAAAAAAAAAAAAAAAAAAAACAAGGCCAAAAAATTTGCCCTTTTGGTCCTCTTATTCATCATAATCATATTCTTTAACATCTGACAGCAGACGAATGTGGTAAATACAGATAGTTTTGTACACAGCAGCAAGCTGTAGTTTCTCCTCAAGAACTGCGAAGCTTCTTATATGCCACAATATTTTAAGTGTAAAAAGACAATGTAAACAAATGTGTATTGAAAATCTATTATTTTACATTAAGTCTGATATGTTTTAGGATCAAGATAAATGCGCCATAGATTCAACTGAATAGAGCGAAGGATCAAGTAAAGTTAAATTCACAAACAATGTGTTTACCAACACATTGTTTAAAAGGGATAAATACAGTAATTTACTTCAATTAACTGCCATTTAATTTATGAACTTTTCTATCCAGCAAATATGACAGTATAAAAAGTATAAAGTGCAGGATTTTGATGTTCAGCCAACACGAAATGTTCTATTTCAGTATAGGTTCTGATTCCACTTAATAACAAGGCAGCTTAGATGTGTGCCTACATTTGCTTTTAGTCTGTGACTATGTGTATTTTTTTCTGTTATCAACCAAATAACCTGTCAAATGTATGTGTTCACAAAGAAACACATTTACTGCATTTTTCTTGAAACAATTTTCTTTTACAACCAACCACATACTGCACTCTTTGACATTGATAAATGTCATGTCGTAACATTTGAATTTTCCTCACCATAGTTATAAAAAGCAGAAGACATTGTTGACTTTATATTGCCATAAACTGTGCCCAAAATGGGCTGAGATGAAAAAATCATATAAAAGTATTTAAAAAACTGGGCTGAGATGAATAAAAAATAAAATAAAAAAATCATATAAAAGTATTTAAAAAAAAAACAAAACAAAAAAACTGGGGCCAAGTTAAGGCACAACTGTGAAATGACACATATTCAGTCGTGTGTGAAACAAAGCCTGAAAAATTCAGTTCATTCACAACAAACTGCAGTTTGAGGCAGCGATGTGGATAAAATGTAAAAAGTAACACTTTAATTTATTACCTTTAAATTTGCTTGTAGGCATCACTGTGGTGGGAATCTGAAGCAGATTAATAATAATAAAAAATAATAATAATTCAGAAGGTATTAGTCTGCAGAAAGCGTCCAATCAGGAGGTCAGGTCCAGCATGGAGCAGAACAAAGCCTCTAAGACGTTACAGTATATTTGGCTTCATTTGGTTTATGTTAAAGGTTAGCTGCTGAATTCATTTGTTTTATAGCATGGGTTTATTGCTGCAGTAAAACTGTCGTCTTCGATGCCAGGCCAATGACACGCCTTGACGTGTCACTGCGTCAATCAATCAATCGCTTTTCACTAGTGTGTGGTTTCCGAGCACCTTTACATCAAGAAGGTTGAACAGAGGCAGGTATTAGTTTCCTCAGTGTAGCAGAGTGAGGAGACCTAGTGGGAGCAAAAGGCAGAGAGGCCAGGTCGCAAAGACAGAGGGCGCTCTATTCTGGCCGTTTTCTTTCTGAGCGCAGGCCTCGCCCTTGTACCCCTGGTAGCACTGGCACTGGAAGTGTGTGCGGTAAAGTGTGAGCTCAGTCTGACCGGGAGCGCCGGTCACCTTCAGCCGGCCACGCTGACTGCTGATGCTGTGTGTGGAGGCGCTGAGGTGAAGGTACACACCCTCGTCTGGTACTCTGCGAAGACAGCGGCCGTGGGATTTACACATGGCCTGACTACAGCGCTCTGCTGCTGTAGTCACATTGAGCAGGTACCGACCCAGCGGTCCCTGAAGGTAATTGTTGAGGGTAATGCAGTTGCCCTGGAAAAAAAAGAAAAAGAACATTAACAAAAAAAAGAAGGTATCTATCTACCTAACAGAAAAAGAACATTAACATTAAAAAAAGAAGGTATCTATCTACCTAACAGACTCTTAAGAGAATTTGAATATTTTAAGTTCTTTTTTTGCCAAACAAGGAGCCTTAAAACATCCCGTCAGAACACACTAACTTTTTATGATATATCATATTTATTTTTTATGGATTTAATTTATACACAAAAATTGTACAAAGTTATTAATAAACCCTTAACCCTAAAAGTCATTTATCCTTCTGCTTGGGAAAAAACTTGTCCTATTGTCATTTATTCTTCTGCTTGGGAAAAAACTTGTCCTATAAGTCGGCGGTCCTCAACCAAAGAAGGTTGAGGACTGAGCCCAACATGAGGTTTTATTTTGAAATGAACCCTAATGAGTACCACAGTACTACTACAGTACTCATTAGAGTAACATACTCCAGTGTTACTGGATGTCTCTCTTCATCAGGAGCCTTCCTCGGTTCAAAGCTTTTACAAAAGCTCTTCCTTTCAGACACGTAATTCTAGAAATGAAGGGGTTTTTTTTTGGGAGGGGATTTTTTATTTTCAACATCTGTTGACTTTTATGTCTCTTTCAGTGTTTTTGTAGAACATTACTCACCTGATTCTTTAAAAAATAAAATCACAATTACTTGGGAGGAAAAAGAACTTGAACGCCTTTTTTCAAACATTTCAATCTCCTCGTTTGTTACTCAGTTCTTACACTGCTGCCTGCGTACGAAGTGTCCCCCCAGAAGATGACCCCTGCAGCTCCAAGGGCAACACTCTCACCGATGGTGGAGACCAGATCAGTCTGAAAGAACAGGCACAGAAACAGAGGGTTGACACACAGTCAGCACACGCTTCACTACCATCCAGGCGTTTCTCCGACCAACTCACCTCACTGAGGAGCGTCATTTCATTCATATAAGTGGGTCGAGTGTAAACAAACACAGGGTTCGCCAATCCGTCACCGACAGACGCCAGGCGCATCGCTTCCTTCACCCTGTTTCGCACAAAGAGGCGCCCGTGCTTTGAAGAGCGTAAAACGGAACCCATGTATATGGAGGGGAAGAACGCCGTGGACTCCATCCACAACCAGTTCAGCTGGTCATTGCGGGTCATCTCCAGATGGGGGCAGCGGCCCGTGTAGTTCTTCAGGTCAGTCCTGTAGTCGTGGTTATAGCAGTCTGGGAACAGGTAGAAGCCCCACAGTTGATTGGGCCTCAGGTTTTTACCCAGTTTGAGGGTCTCCAACATGAACCTGCGAGCC